TCCCTATGGCTCAGTGCAGCTGGGGGGAGAGTGTTCCCTGAGCACGTGGAGCAGATCTCTGGGTTTCTCTAGCTCGATTCATTTGATCAAGGTGGCATCCTTGAAGTCTTGAAAGCTGTTTGCCATGATGTGACAGTCTGGGTTATGGAGAATGATTTTTATGACTTCAGGTAATGAAGGATGCTGCTCCGGAGCTGAACGTGAGCAGCTCAGAAGCTGAAGAGGAAAGGGAGGAAAACAAGCCAGAGGGGGAGCAAGACCCAGATTTTAACCAGGTAGAGATCAAAACACTGCGAGGTTCCTCTGTTCTGCACCAGCCTCTTTGAATCAGTGTGATGGAACAGCTCTCCTCTGTTTGCATCTTACGGGGCAGAGGGAAAGCAGCAGTGCCCACGTGTCCCATCCTGGCGGTCATACCACACATTTTGTCTCCATTTGCATTGCTGGGGCTGGTTTTGTGCCTGCACTCTTTGGTTTTAAAGCCAGCTAAGTCAAAAGCCTCTGCTGAGAGACCTGCCCACTTGATGTTTGGGTCACCCCGAATCCTCTTATTTCTGATGCTACGTCCCAAATGAAAGGACAATGGGGGCTGTGCCTCCTGGCACCAGGGCACTGCCGGTGCTGTATCACAGTGCAGGTGACACCACGGTGCAGAGGAGGGATCACTGCGACATCAGGATAAGCTCAGTGCTGGTGCTAGGAGCAGAAGTTGAAGTTTCTTTGGTCTTCCTACTCTCCTGGTGGTGCTGCATGTGTCAGTGCTCCCCCGGGGCAGTGCTGCAGCCTGGGAGGGAGCTGTGAGCTGTGCAGTGCCCACGGTTGAGCTCCTCATGCCTGGCTCTCTTTCAGAGCAACGGTGGTGCGAAGCGCCAGAAGCTTTCACACCAGAGCTACGTCTCCTACCAAAAGCAGGGCATCCGGCGGAGCACCCGGCACCGGAAGGTCAGGGGGGAGAAAGCACTGCTCGTTTCTGCTAACCAAACATTGAAAGAGCTGAAAATACAGGTAAGGCGGACTTGCTGCAAGAAATGTGTCTTCTGGAATAAAAAACCCATGAGGTTAATAGTCAGGAGACCGCAGCTGGGAGGAGATGGAGGGAAGAGTTTGAGTCCCCAGCGGCGGCAATGTGTGTCTGTGTGCAGTGTCTGTGTGCAGTGTCTGTGTGTGTGTCTGTGTGTGCGCGCTGCATGCGGTCTTTTTGTGCAGCTCAGCAGTATGTTTTTTCCTCCGCACAAAACCAGCGTGTCTCATTGTGTTGGCACAGATCATGCATGCATTTTCAGTTGCTCCCTTCGACCAGAACTTGTCCATCAATGGGAAGATCCTGAGCGACGACACAGCGACGCTTGGCAGCCTGGGCATCATCCCCGAGTCCGTCATCCTGCTCAAGGTAAGGCCGGAGCAGCGCGGCTCTGGGAGGAAGGAAAGCAGAGAGCTGAGCTGCTTTGCTGGGCTCTTCCCTTGCAGCTTTTTGGGGAAGAAGAGCCTCCTTAAGGAGCGTGACCCCATGCACTCTGCCGGGCGCTCGCTAACTGTTCTCTTTGCTTTCAGGCTGATGAGCCAATTGCGGATTATGAGGCAATGGACGATGTGATGCAAGGTGAGGGAGGGCAGCCCTGTGTGCTTGGGGGGGAGGTCTGGGATTTGGGAGGCTGCCTTGCTGCTGTGCTTCTGGCAGGGACGGGCGGCTGTGTAGGGCTGTGTTGGCTTTGGGTTGAAACGTGAGGGGAAAATTGAGATGTTGAAGCTTTCCTGTGGCTGTTGGCTGGAGGTGCAGCTGAGTGCCGCAGCGCGCTGCGCTCACACAAAGGATCCTTTTAGAAGTGACTGTCAGGAGACTTCTAATATGATGTCTCTCTCTTCCCATCCCCAGTTTGTACGCCTGAAGAAGGATTTAAAGGTGAGAGTCTTCCCCCTCCCCTTTTACTGAAGCCCATGCTGACTTCAGCTCCGCCTCGCCAGCGCTGTAACTGTCGGCTGGTTGTCTCCTTGCTCCCAGGGACTGGCTTACTCGGACACTGATGGCTTTACAAGCACTGGCAGACCAGAAGAGAAGAGGATTTGACATGGTAGGGCATTTAGAGAGAAGGTGGATACGGGACTCAACTCTTGACTCTTCCAGAAGGCAGAATCCCATTCTGAAATGACTGCCCCCAAAATGCCTTATGTCAAAGCAGATTGCACTGAAGGACATTCTGACTTCAAGAGAACGTTCCCCATTTTATATTTAATAAAGCAACAGTAGGGTTGGAAAGTGTAGCAGCAGAGGCAGCGTGTGCCAGGTTCGGGCAGATGTTTGCAGGGGAGGCGGGGGCCTCGTCTGTCCCAGAGGAGTTGTGATGCGGTCGATCAAAACCAGCTCCATCCATTCTCCGGTAACTCTTGAGGCGTAACCTGCTTCCAGATAATCCCCTCTTTGATCCGCTATTCCTCTTTCAGTACAGCATGAAAGTAAAGAAATTGTTCGTTGTGAGGAATGTCTTCATCCATTTCCCTGCAGTGTGAGCCCTGCGCTCCCAGGGCCGGGCTGCCCACACCGCACCGCTCGCCTTCGCAGCTTCACTTCCAGGCGCGACCGCTCCGAGTAACCGCACGGTCTCTCTCTCTGTGAACTGTGTTTTTAGAAACGTGGGCTGTTTTAATGACTTTTGATAACATCTTTCTCTGGTTCGTTACTGCCGGGAGCCCTCTGCCCCTCGCTTCGGACCCATCAGGGCTGCGTGGGCCCTGGCGAGAGGTTTTCCCTCTGTTCTTGTTTTCAGGAATGCACTAATTAATTTTTTTAAATCTCCAGCTCCCAGAAAGGATCTCTCCCTCTCCCCAGTTGCGTGTTTGTAGCAGGAGCCAGTGTTACCACTTCCAGACCTGAGGAAAGAAAAAAAAAAAAAAAAAAGGGGCACTGTTGAGGTATCTTCATAATAAAGTTAGACATCTCTCGTTCTGTCAGAGGTTTGTGGCCGCTGCTCTGGGCACCCTGCTCTCCCCTGGGCCTGCAGCCTTCCTGGCTGTTGGCACCCACTGCTTTCCTTGAGTGCAGCCCACGTGCTCCCATGCCCTGGGCCAGGCGATGCTTGGCAGCCCTTCCCTAGCAGATGCAGTGCTGGCTCGTGCTGTGGGACAGAGCTGCCCACATCCCTGCATGCCTCCAGCCTGGGCAGCTGTGGGGCTGAGCCCTTGGTGCTCCTGTGCTGGCACTGGGCCCTATGACTGCTCCCTGGGTGCAGCAGCTTGGTGTCAGCCCCTGGCACCTGGCGTGCAGCAGTCTGTGCCAGCCCTTCCCCAAGTCACCACCTCCCTCCTGCAGCCCAGGTCGTGGCTCTGGGGGATGCTGAGGGGTCCTGGGGGCAACCCATGGCATGGGGGCTGGATGGATGGCTGGACTCTGGGCTCCAGTGGTGGGAGATTAAATGGACAGATAAAATCATTGGCCACCAGAGTTGGGATGTTTAACGAGTGGAGGGACGGACAGGTGGACTCAGTCATGCACCAGGGCTAGGAGAATGGCAGATGAGAAGAGGGGCAGACAGACTCACTCTGGGCACGAGGAAGGGACAGATGGATATATGGACTCACTCCGGACACCAGGGATGACAGGACAGATGAATGGAGGGGAGAGTGAAAGGATGGACAGACAGATGGACTCGCTCTGGGCACCAGAGATGGGAGGGTGGACAAATTGGAGGATGGATGAATGGACAGATGGACTCTGAGCATTTGGGATGGGAGAAAGGATGGATGGGCAGACAGACAGGGATTCTGGACACCAGGGGTGGGAGGATGGAAGGGCGGGCGGACAGAGGGACAGACAGGCAAATGGACTCACTGTCCCTGGGGACGGGGGAGCAGATGGGGGAGCGCTGTGGATACCGAGGGTGGGAAGACGGGGGCAGCCTGGCTGCTCAGGGGTGGGAGCGCGGTGGCTCTGAGCACGGACGGATGGAGGGGACGCCGAGTGCCCGGGCGGAGGGCACGGGGCCGCCGGGTCCCGCTTCCCGCTGCCCATCCCCGTTCCCCCCGCGGGTCCGCTGCCGGTTACGGAGGCGTTTGCTCCTCTCCTGGGGTCGGGATGGCGGTGCCCGGTGCCAGTGCCGGTTCCGGTGCCATTCCCGGTGCCGGCCGCCCCCGTGCGGGCCGCCCCGCCCCGCTGCACGTGACGCGGCGCGGCGGCTGCGAGCGGTGGGGCCCCGCGCCGCTGCTCTCCGGTACCGGTACCGACCCGGCCCCGAGCCGTTCAGCTCCGCTCCCGCCGCCCCCGGTAAGCGCCGCGCAGCCCCCCTCCCGGGGCTGCCACTACCGCCGGTGTCCCCGGGGCCGCGCAGCAGCGTGGGGGGCCGGGCAGGGCCCGTGACCTTCAGCCGCTGCCGGTACCGGGAGGAGATGGGGGGTCTGGGGGTGGGGGTGGGGGGCGTCAGCCCCTGAGTGTCCCCAAACCTCCCCAGTATGTACCCTACAAATTGCCTCCCCCCTTTCACCCCCAAGCCTGCTCCCCGTCCCTTCCCCCCCCCGCATCCCGGCCCCATATTCCATCCCCCCTCAACCGTATCTCTGCAATCTGCCCTCCTTGTTACCCCCAATCCCCGCCCTGGCTGTACATTTGGGTGTCTCCCCCTCCCCCCCCCACGTACAGAAGGGCCCCACGGATGCTAAGGGGGAGGTGCCCCCCGCGGGCTTTGCACGGGGCTGGGGGGGGGGGGTCGCGCTTTTTGCGCGGGCCGTCGGGTCGGGCTGCGCTGCGCGTGGGGTCCCCGCCGCTGTCCGTGGTGCTGCCCCGCACCGCTCCCGCCCGCCCGCAGAGGGCGCCCCGTGGGGGTCGGGGGGGGGGTTGGACGGTCGCACTCTTGGGGAGGGGGCAGTGATGGTTTTTCCCCGCAGCCGGACGCCCCCAGGGGACAGCTCCCCGCACCCCGTTTCCCCTCAGACAGCGCCACGATGGACCCCCCCGGCCCCTCCTCGGCCAGCTAGCTGCGTCCCGCAATCACTGCCACCCCCTGGTGAGTTGTTCCCTCCCCTGGGTGACCTCCCGGCACCGGGATGGATCACACAGCCCCCGGTGCCCCCCGTACCCCATGGCCGTGTCCCATAGGCAGCAGCATGGCCCAGCAGCACCGCACCGCGCCCCCCCCCCTCAAGGTATGTGCCAACAAGGTTGTTTGGGGGGGGGGGGGGGGAAATCATACAGCACTGAAGAGTTCCAGAAGGGCTTCACCCCCCCACTGCCTTGCAGACAGAAGAGGACTACATCCCATACCCCAGTGTGCACGAGGTAGCGTGGCCGTGCTTCCCAGGTTTGGTGAGGTTGGGTGGGTGGGCGTCAGGGAGCACCCAGCTCAGCTGTGGGTGCAGGTGCTGGGCCGGGAAGGGCCGTTCCCCCTCATCCTGCTACCACAATTCGGGGGCTACTGGATCGAGGGCACCAACCACCAACTGAGCGGGGCCCCCGAGCCCCCCCCTGAACCCAGCACCCGGCACCCGTGTGCGGCTGGAGGGCAACCACACGGCCAAGATCTACCGCAAGCACTTCCTGGGCAAGGTGGGCACCGGGGAGCACATCCCTGTCGGTGTGCATGGGCACAGGGGTCCTGTAAGTGTGGGTGCATGTGGGGATGGATGCTGATGGACGTGGGGGATCGATGGCATGGGTGCTCATGGATGGGGTTCTTCATGCAGATGGGTGCGAATGGTGATGGAGACCCCAGAAGTGTGGGTGCTCAGCAGGGGTGGGTGGTCATGGGCAAGGGGACTGGTGAGGATGGGTGCCCATGGGCGTGGTGACCCTACGTGTGTCTGTGGGATGAGTGGCCTGCAAGGATGGATGTCCTCAGGAATGGGTACCCCACAGGCACGTGCTCATAGGTCTATACTGGAGATCATGGGATGGTGAGACGGGTGGCCCCGTTGCGTGTGTGCCCATGGGTGTGAGTGGCCACTGGTGGGTCTGTGGGTGCCTCGTGTGTGAGCACCCATGGGTGCCCCCCTGGCTGCTGGCAGGAACACTTCAACTACTACTCCCTGGACCCTGCACTGGGCCACCTTGTCTTCTCCCTCAAATATGATGAGCAGGAGCACCTCCACCTACTGCTGCGGTGAGCAGGGCAAGTGGCACCCATGGGTGCTGAGTTTGTGTGGACATGGCACCCTGACTCCTTTCACCTCGCAGCACCCGATCCCGCACCCTGCACGATGTGGTGCCCATCTCCTGCCTGGCCGAGTTCCCCAACGTGGTGCAGATGGCCAAGGTTGGTGCCCTTCTGCCCACCAGCAGCACCTATGGGTGCTCCTCAGCACCCACTCTTCAGCACCCTGCCTCCCCCTGCAGCTGGTGTGCGAGGACATCAACGTGGACCGCTTCTATCCCGTGCTCTACCCCAAGGTGAGCACAGTGCATAACCCCAACTCCCATCCCTAACCCTAACCCTAACTCTACTCCTACCCCAACCCCAATCCTAAACCCATCCCCACCCCATCCCTAACCCACCACCCCACGTCCCCCCAGGCCTCCCGCCTCATCCTCGCCTTCGATGAGCACGTGCTCAGCAACCACTTCAAATTTGGTGTCATCTACCAAAAGCTGGGGCAGGTACTGGGGTGTGGGGCCAGGGTGGGAATCTGGGGGGAGGGTCCGGGGGGCACCCACTGCTGTCCCCACAGACCTCAGAAGAAGAGCTCTTTGGCACCACGGAAGAGAGCCCAGCGTTCACCGAATTCCTCGACATCCTGGGGCAGCGGGTGCAGCTCCGTGACTTCAAGGGGTGCGTGCAGGGTACAGGATAGGAGCACCCCAAAGGGTTCCTCCCTTTCCTCCCCCCAAAAAATCCTCTCCCCTTAATGCCATGCAGCTTTCGGGGAGGGCTGGACGTGACACACGGGCAGACGGGCAGCGAGTCAGTGTATTGCCACTTCCGGGACAAGGAAATCATGTTCCATGTCTCCACCAAGCTGCCCTACACTGAGGGCGATGCGCAGCAGGTGGGGGCAACTGGAGTATGGGGTCATTGATGAGGTACAGGGGTTGTGAGGGCTGGGGTCCATTTTGGGGTGTTTGGGGATGTTCAGTGGGGCACAGGGGTTCCTGAGGTAGTGCTGGGTGCTGGAGGGGACATAGGAGCTGCTGGTGCCTCCTAAGTATTTACAGAGTGTTCATGACCTCATTGAGCAACTCCAGGGCCAGGGGGACGGCAGGAACCGACCTCATCCCCGTGTCCCTGCGTCCCCACAGCTGCAGCGAAAACGCCACATCGGCAACGACATCGTGGCCGTCATCTTCCAGGACGAGAACACCCCCTTTGTGCCCGACATGATCGCCTCCAACTTCCTGCACGCCTTCGTGGTGGTGCAGCTGGAACCCGGCGGCCCCCAGGGGCCCCTCTACAAAGTGTCGGTCACCGCCCGCGATGACGTCCCCTTCTTTGGGCCGCCGCTGCCCGACCCTGCCGTATTCAGGAAGGTGAGCGCCCCCGGGTGCCGCCCACAGAGGAGCCCCATTGGCGCCCACCCAGCACCGCTGCCACCCCACAGGGCCCCGAGTTCCAGGAGTTTCTGCTCACCAAGCTCATCAACGCCGAGTACGCCTGCTACAAGGCCGAGAAGTTTGCCAAGCTGGAGGTGCGCGCTGCAAGGGTGGCAGTGGCGGGTGCCGTGTGTGGCCTCGCGCAGAACGCTGGGTGCCATGCAGGAGAGGACGCGGGCAGCGCTGCTGGAGACGCTGCACGAGGAGCTGCAGGGCCGCAGCCAGGCCATGCTGGGGATAGGCCCCGACGAGGAGCGCCCTGACAACGGCTCGGCCCCGGGCTTCTTCGAGTCCTTCAAGGTGGGGCCGGGAGCTGCTGGGGGGCGGGGCCTGGTGGAGGAGGCGGAGTTATGCGCAAGAGCCCCGCCCCTCTGGGGGACTCTCTGCATGCCCCGCCCACCTCCCTCCTGGCCCCGCCCCTTGTCAAGGCCCCGCCCCTCCCCGCTGTCGGCCCCGCCCATGACCGTACCACCTCACCGCCGCTCCCTTCTTTAAGCCCCGCCCTCCTGCTCGCCCTGCCCTCCCATAGGCTCTCCGTTCCGGCGTGCCCCGCCCCCCTAGCCCCGCCCCGATCTTGGCACGGCCTCTCCCACCGCCCGCCTGGCCCCGCCCCTCCGCCCGAAGCCCCGTTCCTCCATTGGTCCCTCTCCCAAGCCCCGCCCCCTGGCCCCGCCCCTGCCCCTGACTCGTGCCGCCGCAGTCGCTGTTGGTGCCCGGGAGCCGCCGGGGCCGCCGCGGCAGCGCCATCGGTCTGGGCTCGGTGGAAGAGGTGCGTGGCGGGGTGTGGGGCGGGGTGAGGTGAGGTGCAGGCAACCCCCAGCCGGCCGCCCCCCCGCTGAGCGCCTCCCGCCCTCCCGCAGGCGCTGCTGGTCCCAGGGAAGAGCCCGTCCCGGCGGCGGCCCGGCCCGCTCGGTTCGCGCCGTTCCAGCGCCATCGGCATCGAGAGCATCCAGGAGGCGCCGGGCAGGTGGGGACGGGGGCGGGGGAACGCGGATCGGGTCGGCCCCCCATCACCGCCCAACGCCCCGCAGGGACGGCCCCGCCCCGGGCAACGACGGCAACTCCTCCGCGCACAGCTCACCCGAGAGCCGGCGGAACCCCGACAGGTCCGGCATCGGGACACGGAAACACGGACATGGGGACATGGGGACACACAGACATGGGAATACGAGGACATGTGGACATGAAGACACACGGACGTGGGGACGTGGAAACGTGGGGACGGGAGACACGGGAACACAGGGAGATGAGGACATCGGGACACGGGGACAAGAGGACATGGGGATAGAGGGGCACAACGACACCAGGACGTGGGGACATGGGATCAATGGGATATGGGGACACACAGATGGGGGGATAGAGGAACATAGGGACACAGGTATGGAGGGGCACCAGGATGCAATGAGACCGGGTGCCACGTGGATGGTGGCAGTGGGATGGGGCAGCAGTACGCGTGCAGTGTCACGCTGTCACCCAGTGGCACAGGAGCTGGGCAGCACGAGGACAGGGTGGTGCAGTAACACAGGGATGGGTCGGCACGGGTACAAGGCAGCATGGGGACAGGGTGGCACTGGGACAGGCTGGCACCTGGTGATACAGGAATTGGGTGTTGTGGGATACAGCAGCACAGGGACATGACTGCTGGTGAGTGCGGTGGGGTGGAGGCAGCGCAGCACTCAGGTGGCACAGGGCTGGGTGGCACGGGGACAAGTCGGTAGGGGTGGGATGGGGCAGCATGGGAACAGAGTGACACCGGGGTGGAGTGGTGCTAGCACAGGGTCCCGTTGGCAGCCAAATGGCACAGGGATGAGGCAGTGTGGGGATGGGGTGACATGGGGGGGACACGTACAGGGGTCTGGGGTGGCACGGGGCCAGCTCTGTCCCTCGCAGGGCGGAGAGGCCGGAGCCTCTGCAGGACTTCTCCCGCTCGTCCTCCAGTGCCAGCAGCTTCGGCAGTGTGGCCGAGGAGCCGGACGAGCAACCTGTGGGCGAGCAGGGCAGGGTATGGGCACAGGGGGCTGAGGTTGGGGGGGGGAGGTGGGTGCTGGGGATGCAGTACCCCGTCACCCCACCCTGTGCTCGCAGGACAGCCGCTCATCCTCGCGGACCCCCCGGCAGCGTGACCCCTCTGCTGATCCCCCCTGGCCAGAGGATCCTCCCGGCACCCCCCCAGGTACCTGTCCCTGCAGCATTGGGGTGCTGGGCTCACCCATGGGTGCTCATGCTCCCCCCTAAACAGGCAGCGCTTGCCACCCCGAGATCAAAATCCAGCTGGAGCAGCCTCCCTCAACCCCGGTGAGGCTGAGAGTCCATCCCCACGACCCCCCCGTGCCCCCCAATCCGGGCACAACCCTACAGACCTTATTGTTCCCCACACAGGGCTCGTAGCTGACCCCCAAACCCCGGGGGGGCACCGCTGAAGGAGGGTCCCCGCTGTGCCCCTCCCACAGTGCCCCCCACCGCTCACATCCAGGAGCCGAAGCCATCGTCCCCACTGCGGGATTGGGACCCACCTATAGGGTCCCCCCCCCTATTCCAGACAATCTCCTTCACCCCAATGCCCCCTTCTGGGGGGAGGGGGAATGGGTACAGGGAGACACACAGTGCAATGCCCCCCCCCCCCCAAGGCGGGGGGGGGCCGGCCCCGGGGGGCCCCCCCCAAAAAACAAAAAAAAAAAAAGAGAAAATCGCACAGTGTAGGGGCTCAGAACTCAGCAGGGGCCACATTGCTGCCCCCCACCCCCACTTCCCCTTCCTCCCCACTATTTTCTTTAGGGTTAACAGCTCCAGATTGGAGGGGGAGAGTTTGGGGCTGTGGGGTTTTTTTTCAGCCCCCCTCCCGGGTCGTGGTTGTGTTACCCATATCAGTGTACAAATAAAAGTCTATTTATCGCTACAGCCGATGCTGGGGGGATGGGGGTTGGGGTTCCCCACTCTCTGGGGGCTGCAGTGGGGCTCAGGGCTGCAGGAGGGCGGAGATTTTGGGGCTGGATGCCCACGTTTGTTTTTTTTTTTCCCTTCCCTTTCCCCTCTCTGAGCCTTTTTGTTACAAATCCCCCATTCCCTCTGCAGGGTTATTTTGGGATTTTTGGTCTGTCCCCCCCCCCCCAACCCCCCCCGACCCCAAGCTCCTATTTGCCCTGCAGCGGTCGCACCGCTCGGCGGTTCCCTCCGACCCCAAACCACACACAGACCCCAAATTTAGCACAGCACCGCCCGTTCTGGGAAAGCCCAGCGCTCAGGAGGGGGGAGGTGGGGGGGTGGATGGTTTGGGGTGGGGACACCGCAGCCCCACTGCTGTGCCAACCGCCGTGTGACAGCACTGCGAAGTTTGGGGTGTAGTAAAAACGAAGCGAAGGTTTATTTATAGGGGATGAGGGGGGATCTGGGGAGGGGGGAATAAATAATGGAGCTGGCATGGGGCGCTCACGGTGCTTTCAGGGTGCATCTGCGTGGCACTGTGAGCAGCTGCAGCGCAGCGCTGGGTGATGTTGCACACGCCTGGTGACATTTGCACGTCCGTGCGAGGCACCACTTGCTCACCCAGGTTTGCAGGGCTGAGCTGGCACACACATGGCTGTTTGCACATGGGAGGCTCCATTTGCACGTGCACAGCAGTGGCTCACCCAGGGCAGCGCCGTGCCGAGCCCCACACGCACACCCATGGGGCTGCACACCCCCCTCCAGGACCCACCACATGCGTGCGTCCCCATTTGCACCCCCACAGCACTGCTGCTCACCCTTTGCACCCCCAGGGCACCGCTGCTCCCACTGCATGCATGCATGCAGCCCCACGTGCCCACCACCATCTGCATGCTCACGGCACCCTTTGCATGCTTGGAGCCCCTCTCTGGCTGCACCCCAGCCCCATATCACCCCATCTCCTCTCCCTTTGTGCCCCCCCCGGCCCGCGGTTGCCCGTTCCCAGCCCCTAAGGAGGTGGTGAACGGCCGACCCCTCCCCCGCTCCCCTCTCCGTGCAGTGCTGAGCCCCAAAACCGTTCCGGAGCTCAAGGAGCAAAAGCCCTGCGGATGCCCACACATGCAATGAGTTGGACATAGGCGTTGGGTCTCAACCAAACCTCCCCCCTCGTCCGCCCCCCCCCGTCTACATTTCAGGAGGGTTTTGGCCGCAGCCCCGAGCCCAAATCCCACAGCGGGCCCAGGACTCTAATGACAGGGGAGGAAGGGTGTATTTACAGGGGCACAGCCCAGCGCGCCGCGGCGGCACCGAAACCGCCGGCGCTGCTTTGCTTTGCTGCGCCCCGGTCTTTCTTTTCGCTCTTCCCCCCCCTAAAAAGAAAACCACTCCTCTCCATCACCCTCCCCCCCCTCACTTCCCCCTCCCCAAAGCCGTTTCGCTTTAGCAGAGGAGGAGGAGGAGGAGGAGGAGGAGGAGGACGGGCAGGAGCGAGGCGGCGGCGGCGGGGCGGGCGGCGGAGCTGCAGTGCGCGCGGTTGGTGCCGATGCAGGCGGCGTAGGCCATGGCGTGGGGGATGTAGTTCTGTTCGTGCACGCCGTGCAGGAGATGCGCCATGGGGCCGCGGGCGAACACCGCCACGTCCTCACCGCCGTGCGTCTCCTGCCGCAGCGGGACGGCCGCCTGCGCCTGGTAGTTGGCGTGAGCTGGAAGGGGAGGGGGATAAAAAGCATCGGAACCCGGCCGTTGGCACGCGGCCGCCGTGGGTCTCAGCCCCGTCGCACGCACCGAAATCCACGGCGGAGACGTTCTCGCGTTCGCCCCCCACGATCTTATAGCCGGGGCCGTTGCCGTACAGGATGGAGGTGAAGGGTTTGCGGTCCACGTCGCTCTGCATCGGGGCCAGCCCTGGCGGCACGCGCGTGTCGGTGACATCCGCACCCTGCGATGGGGGGGGAGGGGGGGAGGGGGGGGGGCCCCCCGAAAATGGGGGTCCCTCGCGGGGTGTAACCGCCGAAGGTGAAGACGTGCGAGTGGTCGGCGGTGACGACGCTGAGCGTGTCGTGCTGGGAGGTGAGGCGCCCCGCCAGCCCCACGGCGCGGTCCAGCTCCACCGCCTCGTGCAGCGCCTGCTTGGCCTTCCCTTCGTGGTGCCCGTGGTCGATGCGGCCGCCTGCAGCCGCCCCACAGCGCTGAGTCTCAGGGCGCTGCCCCGCCGCAGCCCTGCAGCCCCGACGCCTCCTTTCCCCCTATCGCTCTCTTTACCCCCCGCTCTGCACCCCGCTTTTGCGGTGCACCTCTCATCTCCTTCCTCCTTCCCACCTTCCTTTTACACCCCATCGCTTCTTCATCCCTCTCCGCACCCCTCATGTCCCCCCCAGCCCCCCACCTTCCACCAGCAGGAAGAAGCCCCGCGGGTTTTTCTGCAGCATCCTTATGGCCACGGCCACCATCTCGCTGAGCGACGGGTCGGTCTCGTTGTTCCTGTCCAGCTCGTACACCATATCCCCCGGCTCAAAGAGACCTGGGGACAGCGATGCTGGAGGCGGGGCAGCCCCACGGCGCCCAGCACCGCTTTTGTGCTGGCTCAGGCACTTCGGCCCGCACCGTTTCCCATTCCTGGGCTGATTAGATAGGGATGGGGATGCTCCCGGCCCTTCCTTCCTCCCACCAGGTCAGATCCGGGGAATGGCAGTGGGTGGGGTGAGGGGTAGGGGCAGGGGTGAGGGTTGAGGTTGGGTTTGGGTTAGGGATAGAGGTAAGGGTAGAATTTGAGTTTGGGTTAGGGTTAGGGCCAGAGGTAGGGATTGGGGTTGGTGTTGGGTAGGTTTTGGGTTGGGGGTAAGGTTACTGCTAGGGGTACAGTTAGTGTTAGGGGGTAGGATTTGAGTTAGGATTAGGAGTTAGGGTGAGGAGTAGGGTTTGGGTTAGACTTAGGGGTAGGGTTTGAGTTTGGATTAATGTTAGGGCTAGGGTTATGGTTATGGCTAAGGGTGGGGGTTGGGATAGGGGTGGGTGTTACGGTTATGGGTGAGGAGTAGGCACAGGTAGGGTTATGGTTAGGGATGGGATTAGGGATAGGGGTAGATGTTGGGGTAGAGGTTGGGTTATGGTTAGGGTAAGGGGTAGAGATTGGGGTTGGGGTTGAGTTTGGCTTAGGAGTAGGGTTTGAGTTTGGATTTTTTGAGTTTGAGGTTTAGGGTTAGGGTTATGGTTAGGGTAAGGAGAAGGAGAAGAGGTTAGGGTTAGGGGGGGTTATGGTTATGGTTAAGGTGAGGGATAGATGTAGGGTGAGTTGGAGCAAAAAAGATTGTGCCCCCATTGGGGTGAAGATTGCATCCCTATAAGGGTGGAAATCGCGTCCCTCAGAAATCCCAATCTGAGGGGTCGCCGTGCCCTGGGGGTGTCAACGCGTCCACAGGGCGCCGGGGGCCACTCACCCAGGAGGAAGTCAACACGGCTGAGGTTCAGCGCCAGCAGCTCCCTCCGGTGCCACACGTACTTGGCGACCTGTCGGGGCCACGCGGGGTCACCTCCCCATGGGGACAGCCCCCCACCCCCAACACGGGGCCGCCGGTGCCCCGTCCCACACCTTCCCCGCAGGCTTAGCGTCGTGCCACGCCTGCACCAGGTCCTTGCCGTCCAGGCGGGTGCCGCGGTGCCGCTCCTCCTGCGGGTGCTCCACGTCGCTGGTGTTCTTGGGGAACATGTACTTGCGCCCACCCCCCAGGATCACCTGCAGGGAAAATCCCGGGCGTAGAAATGCGTTTTATTATTATGGCTATTGTTTTCTCCTCTAAGATGAGCGGAGAGAGGCAACCCCCAAAGATGCTCCAAGGGATGCGGTGCCCAGGAAAGCCCTGCCGCAACCACCCCGAGGAATTTCTGGCTAGAAATAACTCTCTCCCTCTTAATCGCTCCCTGTTAATTACCCCAAGGACAGAAATAGCCATTTCCAGCAGAGACGCTGGGCAGGGATGCTCCTGTAGGGTCCCCATGTGACCCCTCTGGAGCAGACCCCATCCCGCAGCCTCTGTTTGCTTTGGAGCACCCGATGTTTGCCCGACGGTATTTATAACCGGGCTGAGATTTATTTCTTTTTTCATTTCCCACTCCCCCCCCCTCCCCATTCAGAAGGTGAATTATAAAGCAGCAAAACAACACCACCAAAATTATTAAGGGAAGAAGAGGGAGAAAGGGAAAAACAAAAAATCTCTTCCCCGCTATATAATTATTTCCAGCCTGGGACAGAGTTAAAATTATATTAAAGGAAAAAAAGAAAAAAAACACAGAGAAGAAGAGGCTATTAACCAGCTAAATAACAGGCTGGGATGTTTTGCTTTGGGGCTATTTTGAAGTACAGAAGCATATTTATTTACAGGGCTGAATTTCTGCAAATCCACAACGAGGGGCAGAACTGAGGGGACAATGCGGCTTTTTGGGCATGAAAGCGTGAGAAAGGGGTTTGTGCCTCACTGTGAGCCGGGCAGCTGCTGCTGCACTGCTGCCCTGCACCCATGAGTGGTCTCAGCACTTCTCCTGGAGCCCCAGCCCCGCACCCGTGGCTGCTCCCAGTGCAGTACTACTCTATCCCAGCTCTTCACCCACCAGTGGTCCCAGCCATCGTCTCCTGAAGCCCCAGCCCTAAACCCATCAGTGACCCCATCCCAACACCTACTGAGAATCTCAGTCCTACATCTTCTTGGGATCCCAACTCTGCACCCAACAGTGACTCCAACCCCAACATCTATTGAGGATCCCAGTCCTACCAGTCCTACACCAACAAGTCCTACACCATCTTTGTGTCCCAGCTCTGAACTCTTTGGTGGTCTCAGCCCTACACACGCCAGCTCCCAGGTCTTCCCCCATGAATAGTCCCAGCCATCATTTTCTGCAGCCCCAGTCCTAAACTCAAAAGCGATCCCAGCCCCAGCACCTATTGATCTCAGCCCCCCCATCTTCTTGGGGTCCCAACTCTGAACTCTCTCTGGTCTCAGTCCTACAGATGCCAGGTCCCAGCTCTTCCCCTGAGAGCAGTCCCAACCCAACATCTGCTGGAGGTTCTGACTCTTCACCCATGACTAATCCTGGCCATCATTTTCTGGAGCCCCAGTCCTACACCCATCAATGACCCCGGTCCCAATACCTATTGAGCATCTCAGCCCTACATCTTCTTGGGGTCCCAACTCTGCTCCCTTTGGTGGTCCCAACCCAACATCCACTCCCTTCTGTGCACCCTTGATGTGTGTGTGCTGCACCCCATCACCATGTTTTGCTTTTAGATTTTATTTAGCCCATTTTCATCCTGACTCTGCACCCTTTGGTGCTACCAGCCCAGTATCAGCCCATCCACAGGTGATCCCAGCCCCTCCTGGTCCCGCCGTCCCCACTGCCATCCCCACCTCTATGTCAGGGATGTTCTCCACCAGCTGCCGGGCGATGTCTTTGCAGCCTCCCTCCAGTGCATCCAGGGGCATCTCTCCATCTGAGTACCAGTCACGGTTGGCTGAGTGCGCGTAGGCAGCGCTGGGTGTCGCGTGGGTCACCCGCGTGGTGGTGACAATGCCCACAGCTTTGCCTGCACCACAAATTCACAGGACAATGGTGGGAACGTCCCAAAAACCCAGCGTCCCCCAAAACCTGGCTCCTCACCTTCATCCTTAGCCCAACGGAGGATGGAGGTCACCTCCTGGCCCTTGGTGGTGTTGCAGCGGTCACGAGTGACACCGGCGCTGACGCCCACCGTCCCCTCGTTGGCTTTGACGCCACAGAGGTAGGCGGTGGCTGTGCCCGCACTGTCAGGCACCTGCGCGTTGGTGTTGTAGGTCTGGGGGAACAAAAAGATCTTTACTGTCATCCTGACCATCCTCATCATTGTCACCGTCCCCAAACTGGGGCTCCCCTCCCGCACTGCTCGGCACTCAGCACCTTCTGAGGACGCAACTCTGCACCCTTTGGAGGTCCCAGCCCTGTACACATCAGGTCCCAGCTCTTCCCCCATGAGAGCTCCCAGCCCAACGTCCCCTGAAGGCGTCACCCAACATCTCCTGCAGCTCCAGCTGCGCAGCTATTGGTGGTCCCAACACAGACAAAGGATCTCAGCCCTTCATCTTCTCAAGGTCCCAACTCTGCACCCATCTGTGGTCCCAGTGCAGTAACTACTAGATTCCATTGGTGGCCCCAGCCATCATCTCCTGGAGCCCCAGCCCTAAATCCATCAGTGGTCCCAACCCAGCACAAATGGGGGATCCCAGCCCTACGTCTTCTTGGGGTTCCAACTCTTCACCCTTTGATGGCCCCAGCCCAACATCCATCTTTTGTGTACTCTTGATGAGTGCCCTCACCACGTTTTGCTGCTTTTAGTCCTTTTTCAAGCCATTTTTAGGCAAACAGAGCAAAGCCCGCCCTCTGCACCCCCACAAGCATCCCCTGCAGGGACCGGCTGCAATAAGGGGCGGGGCGGGGGGGCAATAAGGGGCGGGGGCCAACAAAAGGAGCCTTTTCTCCAGCCAAACAGCCCCAGGAGGAGAGGAGGGGTCCCGCTCCCCCCTCCCCCCCCTTCCCGTGGGTGAGCCCTGGCACAGCACTGGGTACAGGACAACAGCCAGCGCTGCTCGCCGCCCATGACCTAATTTCAGCTCCGCTCGATGCCTCCCGCCAGCGACCTTGCAGCGCCCGCCCCAGGCTCACCTTGGCCAGGGCGACATATGGGAACTTGTCCATCTCCAGCAGGCTCTCCTCGCCCTTGCGGTGCTGCAGCTGGCCCTTGAGGATGCGTGCAGCCGTCACGGTGGAGACACCCATACCTGCAGGTGGGCACCCATCAGTGCTGTGCCAGGACAGGACGGCATGGGGTGCAGCACCCCACGCACTGCGGCACCCGGTGCGGGGCAAAGCCACTTGATACGCCCTGGGCAGGGTCTCCCCTCACCGTCGCCCAGAAAGAGGATGAGGTTCTTGGCCACGTTCTGGTTGAGGTGCTGCAGCCTCAGTGCATCCCGCAGCGTCTCCTGTGCCTGCTGCCTCCAGTACTCGGGGTCCTTCTCCCTCTCTGTAGGGTGCAGGGTGCTCGGTGAGCTGAGCGGTCCCGAAGGGCAACCATCTGGTGTGCAGCCCTAACGAGCCACCTACCAGGAACCAGCGATGCTGAGCAGAGTTGGGCCAGGAGGGCGAGGAGGAAAGCCTTCATTGTGCCCCTTCAGTGCTCCTCTTGGGGAATGGACAGGAGAAAGCTGCGGGCAGCACCCGCTGTGCCTCAGTTTCCCTAGCCAGACCTTTGCCCCTGAGCTCGGCCAAGCGAGGACAGAAGGGGACGTCCCCTCCCCGTGCGGTCACACCGTGACCCATGTGGGCTGTGGGGCAGCGCTGTGCTGCCTCCAACTGCGCTGGGGAACAGCGGCACGGCCCCACTGCCCGCACCCCATTGCCTGCTGGGGTCCCCATTGCACAGCTGTGCCCCACATTGTGTCCCCATCCCCATCATACTGTGTCTGTGTCCCATTGCATGCGTGTGTTTGTAGCACCTTCAGGTGCCGCATGTCCTGGTCCCTGCCGCACATCTGGGTCCCCCATTGCATGTGTGCGTCCCCATGTCCCTGAGGCATGCCTGTATCCCCACCATGACTTTGTTCCCACCGTGTCCGCGTCCCCTTTTGATTGTTTGTGTCCCTAGACATGGCCCCGTGGCATGCCTGTGTCCCTCTATTGTGTCTGTGTCCTCATTGTGTCTGTGTCCCCATCTCACGCCCATGTCCCTATCCCACGGCCATGTCTCCTCTGCATCCCTACTGCACACCTCTATCCCCACCGCATATCTCTGTCCCCATTGCACACCCGTGTCCCCACTGCACATCCACCTCCCTGCTGCCTGCCCGTGATCCCATCCCACATCTGCACCCGTGTCCCCATCACCGGTCCGGCGTCCCCCCGTGTCCCCGCCATATCCCCTTGTTCCCACCGCACATCGATATCCCCTGGCACAGCCGTGTCCCCATGCCCCCCCCACCCTTAGGAGTCCCTGTGCGGGGTCCCTTACCCACACAGGGCGGCCCCGCACAAAGTTGGGCGCAGTCGCGGGTCCCTCCGGGCGCGGAGCGGAGGAGGCGGGGGGGGGGGGCAGCGGCCTTAAATCCCCCCGGCCCGGCTCCGGCCCTCGCCTCCTCCTCCTCCTCCCCTTCCTCCACCCGCTGCCGGCACGGGGGGGTGGGAGGCAGCAAACTGGGCTTACTGGTGCCCTCTGCCGGGTCTTACTGGGAGGACTGGGAGCACTGGGGAGGCTCGGCGGGACCGGCTGGGTTGGGGGTGTGGAGTCCCTGGGGTCTGCTTTGCGGTTGTGCTCGGCCCCGCTCCCTTACAGCCCCTTTACGGCAGTCCCCGGGTGAACCCTCGTGGACCACGTGGGGTGGTGATGGTGCGGTCGGGGCGGTGGGGTCGGAGAGACGGGGTCGGGGGTCCAGCGGTGGTGTTGGAGCGATGTGGTCGGGTGGTGGGCTTGGGGCGATGGGGTCGGCGTGGTTAGGACGGGGGCGCCGCGTAGAGCCGTGGGGCGCTCGGTGCTCCCCAGGAGGGGGCGGCCTCAGCCCAAAAATGCGCTCCGACGGCTGCAGGAAGCCCCAACCCCACGGGGAGTGCAGCCCCGGAGGTCGCACACGTGTGTGCACGCGAAATCGCACCCTGGCATCCTTGCTCGTGCTTGCGTGCGTGCACCGCGGCGGGCTTGCACCCTGGCAGCTCGCTTCCCCCTCGTGCAACGGCGGGACGTTTGTGCACCGACGCGTGCCCCCCTTCCCTGCACAGCTGCACGGCCACGTGCTCACAGCACTGCACGTTCAGCGTTGCACACTCACAGTGCCGCACTTCCGAACTCGAACCCCGTCCTCATCCTCCCAGCCTCCCCCACCCCCCCACTGCAGGGCGGTGCGGGGCGGTGGGGGCGGTGCGGGGC